CACAAGATGCTGGATGTCATCCCAGTAGCCAATGCTTACTGTAAACCTGAAAAAAATGAAAGATAAGACACATGAGTAGAGATTAGTAGGTTCCAGCCAAGGTCTATGGCCAAGTTCCCAGGCATCAGGTCAAGGATCCAGGAGAAAACTATCGACCTCAAAAGGCCAACAAATGCACAGTCAGTGCTCCATTACACATTTAAGCAGACTCATCCCTCCATCTTTATGTTCATATACACTGCCCATCGCATTTCTCACAGTGGCCATTTTTCACCTCCATCTTTTCTCATATGGGCAATTCCTTTCCCAGACCCTAAACAGTAAATAACCCCACCCCATACTTCATATAGAAGACTTGCAACTATTTATTCATGCAGCAAACTCACTGGCCAAAGGTTTTAGTTAGATTACTCAACTGAAAAGTTCTGTGTCCAGAGGAAAGGAAATTTTAAAATATTTGGGAATTATCTCTAATAATGACCTTAGTACTTCTGACTCTGTATCAGGTGCCAGTCATTTTACATATCTTAAGGCAATCATAATAGTGAAACCAGGAACAATTAAAACAACTACAACTTGGAAATTGCTGTGGTAGCCTAAATTCTCACTACCCCAGGCTACACTACAAGGAATTAAAGTTTTAGTGTCCCGAGTCTGGGAGCTGAGGCCTCGATTACACTGAAGTCTCCTGGCAACCATGACCCTTAGAATGAGCCTTAGGACCACTAACAAACCATAGCAGGAACCGGGGTCCCGAAGGCCGCGCTACCCCACTGTGGCCTGGAGCCCACTCTACCTCTCAAAGGACATTTTGTGAGATAATAAATGCATTCACCATTTGAAAAAAAGTAGGGGAGAAAAAAAGAGGGGCAGTTTCGAATATGAGTCTGTGTGACAGTGCAAGCAGGAATAAAATATAAAAAGATGGGGAAAACAAAAAAATATAAAAGCAGTTATAAGAGTCCAAAGGACATTGTTGAATTATGGTTTTCTTCATCGTTAATGAAGGCACAGAAGAACAAATACTATTGTAGAATGTCCTGCCTGTAAAAGGATTGAAACAAAATTAAATCCATTTGACTTAAAAAAAAATAAGCTTTAGGTATATGAAAATGATCTCATGTGGACTCTTATTTCCCCAAGGTGCTCAATAAATGAATTTTTCATTGTATTTTGTGGTTGTGAACATGAAGTCTTATATTTTTATCCCCAGTTGATAAAGGCCTTTTAAAATGTAATGCACACAGAATTTCTACTTCCAGGAAGATAGCATAAATATACTCTTTTCTATTCCTCCTACTAAATACAACTAAAATCCATGGACATTATATATAAAACCAACTTAAGAAGAGTGAAAAGCAGAAAGCAGACTGGCTAGGGACCTGAGAACTGAGGAACGACACAGCTGAGGACCTTGAGTCTTCTTTTTGCTTCCTGAATCCCAGCCTTGGAGCTGAAGAAGCCAGCCTCCAAGAAATGCAATGGGAACAGGGGGGAAAAAAAAAAGCCCTGAGTAAAACCTGCTCTCTGGAGCCAAAGAACAAGAAAAGAGGCAGCCTAGCAAGATAGAAAACTTTTGGAAAATACCACAGTACTCCAAACACCACAGAAAACACCGTAGTCCACTGCCACCCACACCAACAAGAGCCGAGTAGGGAGCCTAGACTCCACCTTGTCCTACACAAATGAGATTCCCAGCAACCCCATGGATGCCACGTCAGAGAAGGTGGATTTCATCTCTCCCAGGACAGCCCGCACAGAGAGCCTGGAGATCCACCCCAGTCCTGCGGGGCCCTCCTTTCCTTCTCATCTCGGGTGACGTTAAAGAAGCCCTCCTGCAGGACTTTCCCCACGACCCAGTGGTAACAAGGGCCCTCCCCAAGTGGTGTCAGGGGAAACCATGTGGGAAGCCAGAAGCCCCTCCCCTGCCCAGCAATAATGCAGATCCCCTGCACAGGTGACAAAGCAGGCCAAGCAGAGAACCTAGTATTCTGCCTCCCTGGGTAATAGTGACATGGCACCTCCCTGTTCCCCCTCCTGAGTGGTTTCAAAGAAAGCCAACTAAAACAGAAGGTTTAAATAAGATCCAGGGTTGCACAACATAATATGAAAATGTCCAGATTGCAATTGAAAATCACTCATCATACCAAAATCCCACTTTCACCACTCTTACTCCACATAGTGCTGGAAGTTCTATCCAGTGAAATAATGCAAGAAAAGGAAGTAAAAGGAATACAGATCAGATAGAAAGAAATAAAACTATTTGCAGATGAAATGGTTGCCTGGTTAAAAAATACCAAGGATCTACCAAAAAAAAGTCCTAAAACTAGTATGTAAGTTTAGCAGTGTCACAGGACATACAAAAATTAACTTTCTATATACTAGCAATAAACACATGAACACTGAAATTGAAAACACAGTATCATTTGCCACACTTCAAAAAACTACAAAATAATTAGGTACAACTCTAACAAAATATATACAAGACTTGTATGCTGGAAACTACAAAACTCTGGTGAAAGAAATTAAAGGAGCTATAAATAAATAAAGAGACAGCGTTCATTGGTTGGGGAGACCCAACACTGTAAAGATGTCAGTACTCCCCAAGTTGATATACAAGTTTAATGTAATTCCTGTCGACGTCCCAGCAAGATTTTATAGTTGTAGACAAGATTAATTTAAACTTTATGTGGAAAGGCAAAGAGAGTAGAATATCAAAAAATATATAAACTAAGGAGAATCAGCCTACCCAATTTCAAGATTAAGTGTATAGCTACAATAATTAAGATCATGTGGTATTGAGAGAGATACATTGATCAATGGAACAGAAGAGAGAACCCAGAAAGAGATTCACAAAAATATGTCCAACTGATTTTGACAAAGGTGCAAAGCAATTCAGTGAAGGAAAGATTGCTTGTTTAATAAATGGTGACAAAGGAGAATTGACTTTGGGTGGTGAACACACAATATAATATATAGATGATGTATTATAGAATTGTACACCTGAAACCTATATAATTTTATTAACCAATATTACCCCAATAAATTCAATTAAAAATTTTCTAAAAATGCTAGTATTAACCACAGGCATACATGTAGCTTTAAAAAAATAAGAATAAATAAATAAATGGTGATGGCATAATTGGCCATCAATAGGCTAAAAAAAAAAAAAATAATGAACACCGACCTAAGTATCTCACCTTATACAAAAATTGACTCAAAATGCATCACAGATTTAAATATAAACTATAAAACTATGAAACTTTTATAAAAAATAGAAAAAAATCTTCAGCATCTAGGTCTAGGTAAATAATTCTTAAACTTAACATCAAAAGCATGTTCCATAAAAGAAAATTTGATAAATTAGACTTTATGTTAGAAATTTTAGTTAGAAATTTTTGCCCTGTGAAAGATCCCATTAAGAAAATGAAGAGAAAAGCCGCAGGCTGGGAGAAAATCTTTGAAAACTTCATATCAAAGACAGTACTAGTATCTAGAATGTAAAGAACTCTCAAAACTCAAGAGTAAAAAATAAACAATCCAATTAGAAAATGATCAAAGGATATGAAGAGATAATTTACCAAAGAAGATATAAAGATGGTAAATAAGGATATTAAAATATATTCAACATCATTAGTGATGAGGGAAATACAAATTAAAATCACAATGAGATAATACTACATACCCATCAGAGTGGCTAAAATTAAAAGTAATGACAACACCAAATGCTGAGAAGTATGCAGAAAAAGTGGATCACTCATACATTACTGATGGGAATATGAAATGATACAGCCAACTCTGGAAAACAGTTTAGCAGTTTCTTTAAAAACTAAACATGCAACTATACCCCTGACTGGTGTGGCTCAGTGGATTGAGCACCGGCCTGTGAACCAAAGTTACCAGTTTGATTCCCAGTCAGGACACATGCCTGGGTTGCGGGCCAGGTCCCCAGTAGGGAGAGCAGGAGAGGCAACCACATGTTGATGTTTCTTTCCCTCTCTATCTCCCTTCCCCTCTGTCTAAAAATAAATATTTTTTTATTTTTTAAAAAATTAAACATGCAACTACCACATGACCTAATAATTACATTCCTAGGCATTTATCCTAGAGAAATTAATACCTATGTTCACAAAAAAAATTGTACAGCAATGCTGATAGCAGCTTTATTTGAATAGTAACAGCCAGATGTCTTTCAACAAGTCACTGGCTGAAAAAAAACCTTTGGGACATCCATACAATGGAATACTACTCAGCAATAAGAGGGAACAAACTATTGATACATACAACATGGTACCTTGTGAGACCTGGGAGAATCTCCAGAGAATTTTTCTGAATGAAAAAAAAAAAAGCCAATCAAAAAAAGATTGAATACTATATGACTGCATTTACATAGCATTGTTGATGTAACAAAATTGTAGAAATGGAGGTCAGATTAAATGATTGCCAAAGATGAAGGTGGGGCTGGAGGCAGCATGAAGGATCCTTGTGGTGCTGGAAATGTTCTTTAGCTTGTTTAATCAGTGTCAATGTCCTAGTTATGATGTTATGCTCTAGTTTTATAAGATATTACCATTGGGGGAAACTGGGTAGAAGGTACACAGGATTTCTCTGTGTTAGCTCTTAGAAGTGCATGGGAATCTACAATTATTTCAAAGTTAAAAATTTAATTTTAAAAAATAAGCTCTTAAAAATGGAATGTATGGGGTTATTTGTTAATTTAATGATAAAATGTACAAATTATCCAACTTGTTGGATACCATCTTCTATCTTCACATTCTTCAATCCCTGTTCTTTTCCTGACAGCTCTGTGGTAAGTAAATGGGTGGATAACTAGACAGTTTTTATATTGTATAGTTACAATTTTTTCAAAGGAAAACATGGTCAGTGGAAAAAGCCTGAGTATACCAGTTGTTCATTGTTCATCATCCCATGATTCAAGGGAATGCCTCAAGTGTACAACCACTGCATATAGAAAAATTTCACATTTCTTCTCATTTCAGGAAAACCATTAGTGAAAACATCACGAGCGACTGTGATCAACACGAAGGAGCCTGCCATCACCATGGATATAGGAAGCACCATCAAAACAGTGCGGGGGGTGAATGTGACAATTAACTGCCAAGTTGCAGGTGAGAAAGTTATTTGTATAGTAATTCATTTGTTCATATATTAGTAGAGCCCTGTGCTAAGATGGGGATACCAAAATAAACACACATTCTGTTCTCAGGCATTCAGGGATAGTAGGAAACGCATAAACCTCATTCACTCTGAAACTGCAAAGTGCGACAGAAGTTTAGAGGAGGAAAGATTAATTCTGACTAGGACAGATGAGAAGCGGCTTTTATCTCAGCCTTGCAAGCTGATAGAATGTGAACACGCAAAGGTGGGGCAAAGAGTGTTCCAAGTGGGAAAAAAGTGTGTGAGATCATCCATGGAAGTAGGAAAGCCCCAGGACTGTGAAAGAACAGTCTGTGCTTTGGTCCGACTGGAGCCCAGAGTGCCGAAGTGATGTGGAAGGGCTTAGTCTTTAGTAAGGCGGGTTGCAGCTCCACCGTGGGAGAACTCGAATGCACAGCCAAGTTGTTTAGACCAAGGCAGAAAGAGAGTGATGTTTGGGAGCCATACTTCCAGAGGCATAAACTGCCAGCAGTGCCTAACATGGATTGGAGAAAGGAAGTACTGGAACAGGGAGGCCAGTTAAGAAGCCATCATGGTAGTTTAGAGGACAGGAAGTGAGGGCCTGGACTCAGAGCAGTGGTGGTGGAAATGTAAGGGGTGGGTGGCAGAGGTAAGACTGACAGGAACCTGGAGCTCACTCACATCATAAGGGAGCAGGAGGCATTAAAGAAAATAGCCAGTGCTATTAGTTGTAGATAGGCATTGCCCGTGATTGGCTTTGCAAACTCAGAGACCTATAGGAACCAGAAAGCCACAGGGATTTGGAGGAATAGTGGACAATAGAGCGTGGTCATATGCTCTGTGTAAAGGAATTTACAATGCCTTCAACTGAAAACCAGAAACACCAACCAAAAAAGCCCAGCTTCTATTTTCCCCTTCTTGTAGACCAGGGGTTGTGCTGTCTGCTCTAAGGGTTTTTACTTCCACAATGCAAAGAAGAAATGAATGTCTCTTGTGCCAGGGCCCAGCTACAGTCCCAGCTGCTGCCCTCACCAGATATGCCCTACTGTAGCACACCCCAGGCCAGGCTGCCTGGTCGTACCTGGTCTGCAGAGTGGACAGGCAAGAAATGCTCTGATAGCACCAGGAAACCAGAAATATAAATTCATCTCTGTCATTGTACATTAATTTCTTCTTTGTAAAACTTCCCTTAGCCTGTACATCTACACTCACCGGCAAAGCCTCCTAGAACCAAATGCCTTCAGGCCCAGCACTCCCCCTTGGGGAGCAAGATGAAACCCCTGACAGAGCTTCCCATGAATTGGCTGCCCCTTCACACAGGGACTGATGGTGCAGGTGGGACCCTTTGTATAGAACCATCATTCCCCACGTGATCACCGTGAACACAGTGCTCAGAGATGGAACACCATCTAGAGAGGTAGTGGACCATGTTGGGCCTTCTCTTGAGAGCTGGGATCAGTAGGAGTAAAACAACGGGGAGCAAAAGGCAGCAAAACAAGAAATTGGGCTCTTGAAGAAGATCGAGAGACCCAGAATTCAGGTGGGGAAGTATTTGCCCTGGGGAGCCCAGCATACTAACACCAGCTTGGACCAACTCCTCCTTGTCACCTGGGTCTCTGTCTTCCCAGCTTCATCCAGAGACAGGCTCTTGGTAACCTTATAATGAGATTGTCAGTTGTCCTGTCCAGATCGTGCCTGGCCACACACATTAAATTCTTAATTTTAATGTCTCATGCCTTTCATTAAATAAGACTTTTTTTTTCAAAGTGGGTGGGAGCCTGTTATTTTTTGTCCAAATTTTTTTTTTATTTTTCCATTACAGCTGACATTCAATATTATTTTGTATTAGTTTCAGATGTACAGCATAGTGGTTAGACAGTCATATACTTTATAAAGTGGTCCTCCTGACATTTCAAGTCCCCACCTGGCACCATACATAGTTATTAAAATATTATTGACTATACTCCATATGCTGTACTTCACATCCCTGTGACTATTTTGTGACTACCAGGTTGTACTTTTTAATCCCTTTGCCTGTTTTCACCCAGGCCCCCAACCCCCCTCCCCACTCTTTTGATTACAGTTGTTCTGTGAGTTTACTGGACAAAGAAAGCATCCTTAAGCTGAGTGTCCAGTCAAAATACCAACAGCTGTAATGCTCATGCTAAATGGCAAAAAACTACCATTACTTTGCCACTACAAGTGGCCCTTATGGCTCTCTTATGACATAATTTTGATGGCTATATTATAGTCTATTTTTAGACTATTACATATAGTTTACATAGAGTAACTCAATGTCCTTACCTGTATGAACTGTTAGTAGTTTTTTATTACATAGCTTTTTGCACATATATGCTTTCAACTTGTAAAATGCAGTCTCACAAATTCTTCTCAACACTTAAACATAAAAATCTTTCAGCAATGAGTATGATGAGACTTTTTCCTTGAAAAATGATCTAATTTATTATACCACCCCCCCACCATACTTATTCTCTATTTGAGAAGAGTTCAAGAAACAGAGTGGAGGATAAAAAGTTGGGGGAGGAAGGAGTGTTTCAGTCATTGCAAATAGAATGTACAAGGGGCCTGAGGCAGAAAGAGCGTGCTACATCCAAAGGACTGTAATGTGGCTGGTATGGCTGTAGTACAGAAAACAGAGAAAGAAGTATCATGACTTACGGTTGAAGGATGACAGGGAGTAGCCAGCACAGGAGCTAGATCTTACAGTCTCATAGATTATGGTACAATTTCAGATTTCATCCTAAGAGCAAGGGAAGCTTTTAAAGGACTCAGGAGATAAAATTGTCAGGACTAGTGATACAGTTATAACTAGATAACGAGTCAATGATAAGCAGTGTATTAGGGTAAGCTAGACTCTGGTAAAGAATAGGCCTTCAAATGCACAATGACTCAAATACAATAAAAGTATATTTTTGCCTACTTAAGGGTCCAAAGAGGATGCCAGGTCAGCTAGAGAGGATGTACCCCACACAGTCAGTCAGGATCACAGACTGCTGGTGGCTCCTATTTGAACGCATGCCTTCCAAGGTCTCCCTGGTGGTTATCTCTGTGCTGTGAACCAGAAGAAGGGAAAAACAAAGTGTAGAAGAGGGTTAGGAAGGTTTTTAAGGACCACACCTGGAAGTAGCACACATTACTACTTTCACATTCTCTCCTAGTCTCATGGCCACTCACAACTACAGGGGATGTTGGGCAGTGTCACCCGGCTGGGTAGAAGAAAATAGTCCTGTGAGTCGCTGTCAGTGACTGCACAGTTACAATGGAGAAATGTGGAAGACAGAAAACCTCCTTTCCAGAATTCCATTGTTTTTTAGACTTGCCCAGGCTGGCATTTAAGTTATCGTACCCTTTGCTTTTCTTGCACCAGTCCATCACACTTAACCATGTCAAGGTGCACCTTTCTGTAGGCGCCCACCTTGAGATGTGAACAAGCCGCCATTGTATGAGCAGCCTTCCAAATATAACAAGTAGTCCAGTTAAGAATATCCTATCTGTGCTTTTAAAAAATATATTATAACATCACCCTACCTGGCAGCTCAGTGGAGATTAAATGCACTAATCTTTATAATCGTATCAAACTACAATCCATTTGGGCCAGGCTCATTCATTGATACTTTCAAGCAGCAGGAAGTGCATTGTATTATTGATAAGATATGCCACCAAGAGGAAAAAGTAAAGGTTGGTTCTTTTCCTTCCTTTATTTTAGACACAAATTATACCAAGGAGTCCAGAGTATGACACCACCTTGTCAACAACATAGCTGTGGACTTTGTTCTGTGGTTGAGTGTATTTTCTGTCATTTTTCAGTTACTTCTTTCTGTAGAATATGCTGTTACATCACAATAGGCTAGGAAAATAATCTCCCACAACCTGACCAAGCTTCTCAAGAAGTAGAGAGCTAACAAAGCCAACATGCATAGATTGGAAAAACCTCCCTCCTTACAATACCTCAGTATTACAATTACAGCAGAAAGGTTAATTCTGAAAGTAGAAAATAGTTAAGGATTTGACACCGGAAATAATAGTGCAGCAAATTCATATCCTTTCTCACGAGTCAGTTTAGTATAATGGCAAACAGTATTAAGTATAGCGAGACTTTGAATAATATCATTTCATTCAATGTGGTTTCATTCTAATGAGGATGAGATGCCATAAGAACTTCTCTTGTTTATATTAATTAGCCTGTGGTAAAGTTGGTTTTGTTATACTCGTTTTAGCTAAAAGTCCCAGTACCCATCAACTATGTTAAGTGAGGATCTTGTGCTTGTTAAGATGGAGATCTGTGACATCAAATGTATGACTTTGTGTCCCCATCCTGCCATTTAAAGGCCACTGATTGGCTGGGGGCCAAGTGGGAGGGGGGATAGGGGCTCTGTCCCCATATAACCATTCAGGGATCCAACCTAATGGACTTTAGGCAACTTTCTTAATATCTTGCAGTACCACTTTTCTCATCTGTAAAATGGGATTAATAATAGTGCTTGTAAGATCTTTGTGAAAATGTGATGATGTTTATAAAATATTTAGCTTATAGTAGATGTTCTTTTTCCCTTTAACATGTTCAGGATATTTTTGCAAAACTCTTGACCTCGGTGCACTCCTGGTGTTAGGTGTTCTGAACATCAGTATTAAGCATGTGTATCTGGAACCTTTTCAAGGGACTCTGGCACATGTGAGACCCAGTGGTGTTTTCTAAAGCATCATTGTCATCTCTTGAGAGAAAAAGAAAAAAGAACTTTATAATGCTTCATTTATGTTTCCTCTTCCCTTATTCCTATTATATGTGTGATATGTCAGAGCCAGTCATGGAAGGACTGGCCACCATTTCAAAGCATCCTTTTGGTGCCATTCTCTGCCTAAGGCCAGCATTCTCAGACAGGAAGTCCCCACAATGTGGTACCAGTGATGACACCTCCATTGGCAAGCTCAGGACGCAGGTACCAGCTTGAGTGAGCCTGAGTGAGAGCGATTTGAAAATAAACATATTAGAATGATCCCCAGATAATTTCTCTTCCCTCAGCACTGCTGCCACCTCTATAGTTCCAGTTTCACAAAGACTGAAGTTTCCTTCCTTCTACCCTTCACTTTCCTGAGCATCATCATCTCTCGTGAACCTGGGTAATTCAGCCCATTCGGTCACAGATCCAGTTTCATGAGGGCATGAAGCAGAGGAAGGGAAAGGAAAGGGCTTACACCCTTCCTGAGGAAGTGAGCAATGGCTCCCAGGTCTGTCTCCATCCTGGGGTTCTCTCCCTCTCCCTCCTCCTCCTCTTTCTCACCATTTCCCCTCTCATTTCCTCTCTCCACCTCTGGCTGCCCCGCAGGTGCTCGAGTCCTGACCAGAGAAGGACACATTGGTGAGCAGTGGGGCTCCTCACTGCAGGAGCTGCCCATGCCGCACACAGCCCGCGAATGCTGGCTCTGGAAGCACACTCACCGCAGCTCATCTCCGTATCTCCATGCCGGCATAGTCTCGGAGTGAGAATGCTCGCTCCACTTAGTCATCGTGCTTCTCTGGGTGGAACTGAAGGCCCATTTAACCCAGTTCTCTTACTCTGCCTCCTGCTCCCAAACAATCTGGGTTCCCATTAGGAGTCGCGTGCTGCCCACAGCCCCCCTCAAGAGAAGGTGCCCGCGGTAGTACTACATGCGAGAAATTTATTGCGAGGGAAATGCATGTACAAAATGGTTTGTGGGACCTCATTTTTTCTTGAGGACAGAAATGACTGGCAATATTTTTCTCCAACTTACTTTCAGAGGCTCTCTTCTGAATGCTGTGCATATTTTTTTTAATATGTAAAAACTTAGCTCAGGGACCAAAGTTCACCCTGTCATAGCCTGGCATGGTGATGCTCTTGCTCTCCCTAGTGGTGCTGCAGTGAAAAATCAGCTTTCCTGCCTCTCACCTGCATCTTTTGTCCAGGTGTATTTAGATACCATGCTTACCTGGCCCCTCTCATGCACAGGAGCATCAGAAAACACCTTGTACCTCTCCCTGATGGATCAGGGGTACAGCATCCTGCTCGTCACTCTCTCTCATCAGTCCTACCTCCACATTTCAGCCAGCATGTAGGTCCCTAGGGATTCACACTGAATTATGGGTAATATGAATAAAAAAGAAGACCAGAGAGTCACTCCTGTGTTCCCCATAACAGGGAGAAATCTTACAGATTGGCCGAACCTTTTGGCCACCTACCTTAGGCCACCACTCCAGGCCTGGAAAACCCCACCTGTCCAGCAGCGCAGCTGGGACACCAGTGAGTTCACACAAGGCACCTCATCAATAGTGGGGGAGTGTGAAACCACCTTCCCACCCCTCCTCACTTCCTCCACTGGGAGCTCAGGAACAGCAAGTGCACTGGGGCTCTAATGAGGGCTCTTCAGCTGGGTGTAATAGTGCACACTGAGAGTAATTTTTTTCATCAGGTTCAAGAACCAGTATCTGCATCCTAAACTGTAGGCTGCCCATTAAGGACAAAATCCAGACCCAACTCAGGGAAAGCGCAGGGCAAAAGGTCTGGCTTTTTTGACACTCTTCCTGGGTTGTCCCTGTCTACCAGGATTTGACATTCTAAATATATCCTGAATATATGCCCAAGAATTCTGGGAGTAAACTTTCTGAGTTGGGTCAGCAAGCGGGGGTGTGCAAGTGATGTTCTGTTCCCTGGAGATCTGTGAATTAATGCCACAGACTTTCTGTCTCCCAACTCAGGACTCAGCCTGGTAGGGAGCCTCCTATGCAGACCATCACAGAAGGCTTGTGCTAAGCTGGGGCCCGCTAATCCACATGCCAACCGCAAGGAAACTTCCTGATGAATTAAGGCTGTCCCTGGTCTTAGTCTATTCAGGCTGCTATTTATTACAAGTACCATAGACTGGGTGGCTTAAATATCAGGTTACTTCTCACAGTTTTGAAGGCTGGAAATTCCTAGATCAGAGTGCTTGATATGTTCAGTTCCTGGTGAAAACTCTTCCTGGCTTGCAGACAGCTACTTCTTGCTGTGTCCTCAGCTGGCTGAGAGTACTAGCTCCCTGATCTCTTCGTATAAGGGCTCTAATCCCAATATGAGGACCACCCTCTGCCCATCATGACCTCATCTCAACCTAAATAACTCCAAAGTCCCCATCTCCAAATACCATTATATTGGGGTTAGAGCCTCAACATACCCATTTGTGGTAACACAAGCATTCAGTTTATAATACCCCTAGAAGACAGAGCCTGACTTCCAAAATCAGGTGTGCAATCCCAACTAATATGCACACATTCTCCCTGGCTCTTTCCCACAGACAGTAAACTCAAACTGAGGTGAGAGCAGAGTACTTTCTTCACATCTTTTCTTTTTCTGTGGTGTTAATGATATAATAGTTCCATATTCACTTGTTCTAAGAAAATACATAGGCTTCAAAAATGCAGCCATGTTTCCTACATATGGTCTCAGCTCTTGTAAGGATGTGTAGCAGCTTTCCTTTGTCTGGCTCATGAGTGTATTAACATTTTGTGGCTTTTAACTTTTTACTGATATGTAATATCTCTATAGAAACATGCACATTTAAAGCTGCCAAGCTCATCAAACCAGCCCCCAGATCAAAAAAAAAAAAACAGAGCATTACAAGCAACCAAGCCCTTTGTCCTTCTCTCAGTCACAATCCCTCCCCATTCACCCCACCTTCAGAGGAACCATCACCATGAATGCTAACAACATAGGTTGATGTTACCAGTTTTTGTTTTTTACTTACAGAAAGGAAATCATATGGTATATACTCTTCTGCGTCTGTCTTTTCTTACTTAACATTTTGTTTCATGCAGTTGTCAATCATTCATATTCACTGATGGATACAGGTTTGGTTCTTATATTTTTATAATATGTTTTCTCCAAAGAATCTTTGTATTCTTCTACCGTGGAAGTGCCCTTTGCCAGCTGCATGCTTCTTCTTCCTTTAACTGGCCTCCCCTTCCTGCCTCATCAGTGTAAGTTTGAAAAGTCAAAAGCTCTCCAGACAGCTGAGAGGGCTGAGGCATTATTTAGTTAGGCCAAAGGATGGTGGAAGATGCCTGGGCAGATGCTTCCTGCGGGAGTGCCCCCAAAGAGTCTGTAGATGGCTCGGGAGTCACGTGGACATGTTTGGCTGATGAGTTTATTTTTTTCTTCCTAGGTGTGCCTGAACCTGAAGTCACTTGGTTCAGGAATAAAAGTAAACTGGGCTCCTCTCACCATGTGCACGAGGGATCCTTGCTACTCACAGACGTGTCCCCCTCGGATCAGGGCCTCTACTCCTGCCGGGCAGCCAACGTGCATGGAGAGCTGACTGAGAACACCCAACTTCTGATCCTAGGTAAACAACTCAAGGGTGATTGCCCCTGGGGCACCCTGCTTGGGGTGACTAATTCATCCTCCACATCCTCTTTTCCCTGATCCAGTTAAGTAATCAAAAGTAAAATCAATATCCCTTCCCTTATCCCCACCTTAGGGCCTTCCGATAGAAAGAATACAGACTTAGGGGCCAGGCAGACATCAGCTTGAACACTGGCTCTACTGAATACTCACTGGGTGGCCTTGAGCAAGTCATTTAACCTTGCTAAGTTTAGGTTCTGGTCTCTTAGTGGAGACCTCAAAACAAGGATTGCCCGCATTGGTGGAGGGGCTGGGGTGAGCATGTCAAATAAAGGTGACAGAAGTATAGCAGTTATTTCTGAACTCCTGTGTTAAGGATTTCTTTGAGAATCAGATGAAAAATATAGATTACCCCCTCCATAAAAATTCATACATGCAAAATTTTTCATGTAACAGGGAAGTTCATAGTCTAGTCCACATGAAGTCCACACATGTACCCTCCTTAGTCCATTCAGACTGCTATAACAGAATACCACAAACTGGGCAACTTATAAACAGCAGACATTTAGTTTTTGCACTTCTAAAGGTAGAAATCCAGGATCAGGGTGCCAGCATGGTCAGGCTCTGGTGAAGGCCCTCTTCCGGGCTGCAGACCGCTGGCTTCTTGCTGTGTCCTCATTTGGCAGAGGGATAAGCCAACTCTCTGGAGTCTGTTTTATAAGGACACTAATCCCCCTATAACATAATCACCTCCCAAAGTCCCAGTGATCTGATACCACCACCTTGGGGCGGCTAGGATTTCACCATATGAATTTGAGGAGCCACAAGCATTCAGGCGATAGCATCCCAAAACATAAGAACCCCTGATTAAAGAGTCTATCGCAGCTCCTGGCATAAAATATGTGTTTAAAAATAACAACAATTGCTTGGACACCATCCAACACTTGCTGTTGCCCAGTGCTGGACTCGGCCATGTTGTAAGCTGCAACCCCTTATCCTTTGGACTGGGGACACTTTGTTTCTCTTCCCCACAGAGTCTGGAAGTTGGTGGAATAAATTTAAAAAATCTTGTTTTTGTATTTTTTTAAGACAGTTATTAGGGCACTTTCTCTTGGTGAGAAAGTTATCATTCTAAGAAAAATATGAAAAATATGACTAATTACACACTCTGACTTCCTCAGGGAAAAATAATTAAACTTTATACTTGTATTTTCACACCCAAATTGATGACACACCAAAGCATAGGGTCTCTAGCCCCTGCCAACTCAGATTTCAGAGAGGCCCAGATGGGTTTTCGTCTCACCAGTGGCTGCATAAACTTCCAGTCATCGTAGGAAGTCACAGAAAATCAACTCTGTGAAGGATGTCATTTGTTTTGTGTTGGGTTTCATCAGCTAAGCCGCTAGTCTGGGGCCAGAAGCCCAGAGACTGTTGCCCCACACTGAATTATGGTGCTTACTGCGGGGTTTTCCTCCCTAATAACCCTGCCTTGTTGCCTCTGCCAACAGAGATGAAAGCCTAGGATGTGTAGCTACCCCTGTAGCTTTGCCAATGGAGTGTGCACATTCTGGAAGCCAGTTCTTGGAGCAGGTCAACTCTAATTTGGTGTGACTGTGAACATGGGGCCTGAAGAGTATAACGTCTTCCCATTTTCATCAAGCTTGATAAGAAAAAATATCACTATTTAGATTCTTAAGTTTAGGTCTTTTCCTGATCAGAAGTCTTGGTTTCTTAATCAAAGGTTGTTAGTTTTATAGGTAGTTTATGAACATAGAAGTAGTGTCTTCTCTTTTATCAGTGAAAAATGTGGCTTAATTATTACATCGGGATTTTGTGTATAAAGCTGAGGTTTTATGCCAAGTTCCATGACTTAACCTGTAGCATCAAGACTTGAAGTGTAATGAGACAGAATTGTATGTATTCATTCATATTGCCTCTGGATGAATATTCATGAAGCATTGCCTCTAAGTTCCATGTAGGATAAATATAAGAAGTGACCTCTGTCCTTGGAGAATTTACAGTTTACCTAGGAAGATCAAATGCACATGGACCAAAAAAGAAAAATATGATAGAGCAGTGAGAACATTAGAAGGTGCCAACATTTGGCCCAAGGAGATCTGATAGTTTTGGAGATGGGGCATAACCTAACCCTTTTAACTTTTAGTAAATAAGCAAAGGCTTCCTGAGTTTTAATATTCTTAAAGAAATATTTGGTTGGAATATTGAGGGAATTCAGTTTGCTTCAATATTCAATTTCAGTGCTCTTAAGGGAATATTTAAAAGGATGAGAGGAAGAAAGTCTAGGCTTGAGTAAACTGCCACCATGTATTTCTAAAACTGTGGTGTTTTAGAGTAGAAAAAAATCTTGGATATGATGAGGTTCCATTTTATAGATGAGGAAACTAAGGCTCAGAAGGACTGAGTGACTTGTCCAAGTTAGTGAATGACAGAGACACCGCTCAAACTGAGGGTTCATGAGCCCAAACATGATATTTTTCCCCTATACCATACAAAGAATATTTTAAGTTATTTATATCTAATATATAATATCTTTGTAATTTTTAAATTATATATATAAATTATATGCAGAGTCTGGCAGAAGTAAGGCTTGCTTGAGTGTGGTTGGTAGGGTAATAATATGGGTATAATAATTTATAGTTTTAATTTGAACATTTCACTTAAAATGTCATAAGGTGTCCTTAAGTGTGACATTGTTATGTTACAGAATTACATGCTTATGATTTTGTAATAAGAGATTTAGTAATAAAAAAGAAGTGTTAGTTGCACTGAACCCCATATACATGTCAAGCTCATCATTGTTTTTTGTACACAATGCTCTTTGGCAATGCAAAGCAGAGCTGACAGAAGTATGTTTCAGAAGTAAACTCTGGCACCATCATGACTTATTTGCTGTACCTAACAAGTACCAAACAAGATGACAAGCAAATAGTAGGCCCTCACTGAACACCGTTGAAATAGCCATCAATTTCCAGAACAACACTCCTGTTTCTCCTTCCGCTCCAACAAGGGCGCTAGAGGAAAAGGTGGGAGCTGGCCTTGGAAGTTGAATTACAGTGCATCAGAAGAGGCCGGAAGACAAGCAAGCCACTATATTTCCTATTGTGTCACTTTGGCTCTGGTTAACTGTGACCTCTGATGACTTCAGCCCTGACTCCTTATCAGACTTTAAATAGCAAATCATCCCTTGCTTATTTGCATGCTTGTTTGTCCTAGTGAGCATGAAAAATTCACACCACAAAGTAAATTAACTTATCAACTTCATCAATGGACCTTTTTCCTCATAGAAAAAGTCACTCATAGGCTCCTTTTAAATAAGAATTCCTGTGGTATATTCTTATCTATGGGGACAATAATAAGGTGCCTCCCTCAAAAGGATGTTATTTTTTTTAATGAAAACTATTTAGTATAGGACTTGACATTTAGTAAATGCTGAAGAAATGTAGGCTTTTTTAAAGTGTCTTTAAAATATGATTTAATGTACCTACACATTTATAGGGACTCAAAGGCACTGTGGTATAAAGTGGTATTAGTAAGGAGCTCTTGAAACCTACATCCCTGATTCTTATTACTGACCTTATTGATTCAAGCATCAAATGTTAAGTTTGAAATTGAGACTCAATTTGATAGGCCCACCTTCTCTATAGGAAAAAAAAAAAGTTAAAAGGCAACAACAATAATGCCTGCCTAACACAAGACACACTTACATGCATACTTACCTTTCTTTCTACCCTTAATAGAGCCTTTACACTTTAACCGGCCTGACTGACCATCTGCCTTCTCACAGATCCTCCCCAAGTCCCCACGCAGTTGGAAGATATCAGAGCCTTGCTTTCAGCCACTGGACCAAACCTTCCTTCAGTGCTGACGTCTCCTCTGGGAACACAGCTGGTCCTGGATCCTGGGAATTCCGTTCTCCTTGGTGAGTCCAACCCTCTGGAACATTGGGCAGAAATCCCGGGCTGGACAGGATTTATGGATGGGTGACTGCTTGCAGGTGGGAAAGAGGCAGCAGTGGGGGGTGGCCAACAGGAAATCACTAAATTGCCTGCAGAATCCAGACTCACCAGTGGAAACTTGGCTGACTTTCCATTTGAGGTGAGTGCAGTTCTTAGGCCGGACTCTAGTTTGTCTAGATTCCAGTGTGGCTCTTTTCTGAATCCTCTCGGGCTGATTCCACAGTCCAGATCCTTTAAATCAGTTTGATTCACTGAACAATGAGTAAAGAGCAGCTCCTGTATCTCCTGTCTTCTTGCCAACCATACCCCGGTATTCCCCGCTGACTTCCTCCCAACTAAACTGGAACTATAATCAACTTTCAAAGAGAAAGATGAAATATCAAGATCCCCCAAAAGCCAGGTAACTCTATTTAAGCCAGCCTTCTATCAGTAGGGCCAAAACCCAACCCAGACAGACTCCTTGAATCAAATGTTTAAATAACTTCACCAGGTACAACTTCCTTGGCATCTGTCATTGGGACCTTCACCAAATTAACACCCACATGGCTGGTGCCCTCTGGTAGCAGAGAGTTGTACTAGCACATCCAAGTCCTGGGTCCCTCACACCTGTATCATGGAGATGCCAGAGAAACCTCTGCATGTCCAATGATCTCTGGAGTTGTTAAAGGTGGAAAGGAATACTTCTGCTTTCAAAGGCCTAAAAGAAGAGAAACAGGCCTACAAGTGGAGGAGATATTTATGCTAACTCTGTGTGACCCCAAATATTGGTAATGGCAGCTAAAATTATTCCTTTGGCTCAGAGTTAAAGTTTCTGTACTCTTCTGCCCACCAGCTTGCAACCACCAGGAGGCCAATGAGCTCCCACTCAAACTGCTGATGACTTATCAACATGGCCATGGGGTCTGATATCTTTAGGATTACAGCACAGAAATATTAGCTTCAGTTTTTGTTATCATCTGAAATTAGCAAAGAATACTCATAACATATGGGCCTATGGGAAAAGTTTTTTATTTCTCTCTTTCTGATCTGGGTAAAAATAAGACACAGATATAGTAACAAGTAGCTCTATTCTGTTTCCTATAACTGACACAGCTTGGCATTGGGTTCTTCCACATGATGTTCATCAAAATTCATGGAAGTTTTAAACTGCTTATTTCCTTTGGCTTATTAATGGTGAACTTATTCTAAATTAAATGTATATAGTGTAAACTTTTGTATTTTAGACTTACCACTATAAGTCCAGTCACTAGCAGGTTTATTTTTAAGTTCAGTAACTCGTGGGTCGCTCAGGTGCCTTTCTGCATGCTGAAACAGTTAACCTGCTCATATTTTTCCATGATAGCTTTACTTTCTTTCTCCCTTATTCTGAATAATATTTTTTCTCATTGTAGCCATGGGCACTAAGAATGTATTGTGCTTTATGATGCTGCATTTCATTGCTAGTTTATGGGGCTTTTTTATCTTAAACTGGTATTTAAATCTAACAGTTAATAGATACCTTAATACACCAGTCCACATTCAGACTGCTCCATTTGAATGAGACAGCAAGTCAATATCCATAAAGTCCCTGAAAGTAACTACATGGGCAAAACGGGCCCTAGTGGTGAATGTCACTGTCTCGCCAGCACTATAGAGCTAGGAGAGATCTGTGTGGAACTATGGAGATGAATTAGGGAATGATGGGAGGTTTCAGGACTCTGAGAAGTAGGTCGTTTCAAGCTGACCAGGGCCTCACCGTGATGCTTTAGAGCTGAGCACCAAAGGATAGGTGGGACTCAGATAGGCAGAAAGGAAGGGACACAGGCACCCAAAGTGAAGAAGATGCTACAAGCCCAGAGGTGAAAATGTGTGAGATATGTATCAGGTGTCTGTTTAGTAATAGCTATAAAATACCACTACTTTAAAACTATAAAAACTATTTGAAACTAAAAAAACTATTTAAAATAAATATATTCTGATGATGGGCAGCCAAACTGGGGTAGAAACTAGGCCATCAAAAGGAGCAAGACTTTCTCTGTCCAGGTGGCTGAGTTGGTTGGAGCATCGTCCCATACACCAAAAGGTGGTGGGTTCGATTCCTGGTCAGGGCACATACCTAGGTTGCAGGTTTGTTCCAGAGGCAACAGATCAATATTTTTCACACACATTGATGTTTTTCTCACACATATCAATATTTCTTTTTTTTTCTCTCTCTCTCTAGCTCTCTCTCCTTTCCTTTCTCTCTAAAATCAATAAACATATCCTCAGTGAGGATTTTTAGAAAATGAGAAAGTCTCAACTAGAGCTTGTCCACTCAAATTTGGCTTTGGTCCCTTACCCCAAGATTTCTGATACCCTCCTCCATCTCGAACCTCCCAGCTATTGACTGATCCTGATCTCTTAATTTAATTGCTCCCATTTGGACTGGCTCCCATCTCTGGCTGCTATTGGTGGCCCATTTAAACCACAGTGTGCACTCTGGGTATAAGAAATAGGTCAGGGAGGTGATTGTGTATATGGTTTCTGACAATATTAAAAGGTGTCAAATTGTGGAGGACCTGGATTATTAAACTAAGGAAGTAGATTCACTATGCAGGAAATGGGGACAGAGCTTTAGAGCATTTTTAACTAGGAGAATGATGTAATAAAAGTAGTATTTATAGAATTACTCTGACATTCTGTAAGAGTAATCAAGAGTCAGAGAGATTTAATGAAGAAACCCTATCCTGAGGGTAACAGGTATTCTAGACAAGGACGCAAATAAGTGGCAAAGATACTGTTAATTGCCCCCTCCACAGCCAAGACATCCCTGCTCAATCATGACATTCTTTTCCACTTAGTCCAGACACTGCCTTGGGATGTATTTCAGCATTCCCACCAAGCATGGTGGCATTTGGTATACAGGAGGAAACCTATTTGCCTCCTGTACTGGATACACTGTTGTATCCAGACGATGTGAGATATCTGTGTATTTCTCTCATCTACAAGGTAAGCTGGCTGGAGCAGATTCAGAGCAAACCATGGTTCTGTGACACAGAAACAATAATTCATGGGCCTTGATTCTCAAGTTTTCATCAGGGGAAGGGAAAATGGGAGATTTTTGGGTTTTTTTAAAGCCATATAGCAGATCTAATTCTTCTCCATTAAGGTTCATGTGCTGAGATTCCCAGTAGGTGAGTCTATGCCAAAAATGGTTATATTAGTTACCAGACACTCCAACATTGCTATGTCACTTCAAGCCACTGCTGCAACTTTCAAGAAGGAAGGTTGATTGAGTAGCACTTGCCTTGGCCCATCTGGACCTCACTTTCCATAACTGTAAATGAAGACTGGGACTAGTGGGTCCCTTGTTGCTTGCACAATCTTTGCTACAAGACATGGTCATGGAAATGCCCAGTGGAGACTTGGCCATGCAGAATAGACCCAACCTAACTGAATCTGTTGCCCTAGGCAAGAAAAGCAGCAATTTTTTGTCCTTGTTTTACAGCTGTCCTTTCTGCAGAAAGGCTTAAATTGTGCCAGCTATTCTGAAGGGCAAGGCTCATGCCTGCATCCTTAGTGGTCCAGGTCCAGGTCTGGTAGCAGGGCTCCATTTTTAAAACACCTATAGCTCAGGCCTCTCTACAGCACCTACACCTTTTTGCAGCCTTCTGAGACCCAAGACTTACAACTCTCACAGTAACATTTATAGGGTATTACCACTGATATATTTTGAAAAATAATTTTATCAGAGTTTCTATTATAAGAGTAATACATGCTCATTGCAGAATAATTAAGAATAGAAGCAAGAAGAAAATGAAAACTACAATTTCCTAGCTTAGAGATAACCAGTGTTGACATCTTTTTCCCAACCTTTGTTAAACACATTATACATATCTTTTGTCTAAAATGAAATCATACTCTATATACTGCTTGTAACTTTTTTCACTGAATGGTATATAATAATCATTTTTCCATGCCTCTAAATATTTTCTACAGCTTTATATTCAATGGCTGCACTGATAGGAGATGCCATATCTTATTCAACCTAGTCTCTAATGTTGAACTTTTAGATTCTTTCTTCTACTCACTTGGGGCTTAGTTCTTCTTTTATCAGTTCCTTTAGGTATAAGGTTAGATTGTTTATCTGAGATTTTTCTTATTTCTTGGCTGTGTCACATAGATCTTGGGTCATGGTGTTTTCATTTTCATTTGTCTCAAGGCATCTTTTGATTTCTTCCTTGATCTCATCGTTAACCCATTCATTGTTTTGTAGCATGTTATTTAGCCTCCATGTGTTTGTGTGTTTTTCAGTTTTCTTCTTGTAATTGATTTCTAGATTCATACCAGTGTGATCTGAGAAGATGCTTGATATGATTTCAGTCTTAAATTTATTGAGACTTGTTCTGTGGCCTAATATGTAGCCTCTTTTGGAAACTGTTCTCTGTGCACTTGAAAAGAATGTATATTCTGATGCTTTTGGTTGAAAATAGCAAATGAATGCATCTGGTCTAATGTGTCATTTAAGGCAACTGTTTTCTTATTGATTTTCTGTCTGGATGATGTATCCTTTGATGTCAGTGTGGTGTTAAAGTCCTATGCTATGCCTGTATTATCGTTTATCTCTCCTTTTGTACATTTGCTTTATATATTTAGGTGCTCCTGCACTGGGTTCTTAAATATTTATAAGAGTATATCGTATTGTTGAACTGATCCCTTTATATTATGAAAATACCCTTCTTTGTCTCCTTTGACAGCCTTTGTTTTTAAAGTATATTTTGTTTGATATAAGTATTGCAACTCTAACTTTTTTTCCTTTCCATTTGGATGAAACATCTTTTACTATCCCTTTACTATTTATCTGTGTTTCTTCCCTTCTGAAATAGGTCTCTTGTAGACAGCACATGTACAGGCCTTGTTTTTATATATCCATTCAGCCACCTTATGTCTTCTGATTGGAGCATTTGGTCTATTTACATGTAAAGTAATTATTGATAAGTATGTGCTTTTTGCCATTTTATTAATTATTTTCCAATTGTTTTTTTGTACCTCTTCTCTAGTCTTGATATTCATGTTCTAGAGTTATTACATAGATGCTTTTAAGAGATGTTTCCTGAGGTTGGCATAGAATTATTACATAGATGCTTTTAAGAGATAATTTTTCCCAGAGTTGGCAAAAAAAAAAAGACCCATGGGCAAAATCTAGTTCACTACCTGTTTTTTGCAAATAAAGTTTTATTGGCATGTAGCCACACTCATTTATTTACTTATGTATTGTTTATGGCATCTTTCCCACCATAGTGGTAGAGCTGAGTGCTTGCAACGGAAACCATGTGGCCTACAAGACTTAAATACTTCCTTTTGACCCTTTGCAGAAAAGGTGTGCCAACCACTGATCAGTCCATCCCCTTCATTATGTGGAAAGGATACCAAGGTCTATGGTGGTAATCACACATCTCCTGTGTCTGAGCAGGGGTACTGTTTTCACTGTGTCACTCTGTCCTTCATCCCATCACTGGGTTAGGATTTCTCCATAAAGTAATAGAGCCTGAAAAAAAAAGTGAAACAAACATAGAGATCTTTCTCAGGAAGGTCAGAAAAAAGAGAAAATCTTTGTTATAAAGGTCATGGATTTTTGTCAGAATTAAATGACTTCCGGTGCCTTCAGTAACCAAATATGAGGCTTAAGAGAAGCAGTTCAGTACCTTTTCTCACAATATCCTGTTCAGGCCCAGACCCTGTCAGAATGTTTTACAGAATATATACATGAGGTTCATTCCACCCCCTGTATTTAATCACAAACTCTCTTTTGTGAGTGAGCAAGCTCCCATGCCTCATTCAGAGGGACTCCTTATGACATCTCTGCCAGAAACCCATGTCATGCTAACCCCTCAGAGAGCCAAACAGCACAGCCTTTCTCGTGTCTTGTGATTTACCAAGAGGAGAGAGACTCAAGCCTTCAAACCTGAGTTTGCAGAGTCAAGTTTTTCCATGAAAGGAGTCATTGTGCCTGGCCCCTCTCCCCAGCTGGGGCTCGAGGGTCACAGCCAACACACACAGCAGCGTCTCGGCAGCATCAACATGCCCCCCAGGGACCTGCATGTGTAACAACTCCATTGCTTAGAGCCCTCTGAGCCCTGGAGGAGCCAGGCAGTGAGGCCATGGCCCACGGTCAGGCAGTGGCATTTTCTTTCCAACCACCTGAGACAAGCAGCTTGCAAAACATTTTCTTCTGTGCTTATTGAAAATGCTGAGAATTGCAGGGCCTGGCTGATGTGAGATCCAGGTCCAGATGTCTCTGCTAAGAGCAGCAGTGGTTTTGTTGATGCCAAATCTCATACTAAAAGGTGAAAATTTATTTCTTTCTCCAATGCTGAAGTTACAAATCATATCACACTGATGAGGGAGCTATGGCTGGAATCTCAGGTGGAGCTTACAGTCATTGTTCATATACGACGATATAAACCCCTCAAGGTAGGAGCATATATTAGAAAGCAGTTGGATAAATATTAATGTTCTAAGTTGAAAACCTTAGTAAGGGACCTAAGAAGGCAATATCAAAGATCAATTTCCTCATTCAATAAGAATTTGTTGAGTGCCTATTACGTGCCAGGCACTGTGATAAGTCTGGAGTTACACAGTAAATAAGATAGACAAACCTAGCCCTTCATTCATTCATTCAAGAAAAAATTATTACACGTTTACTATGTACTAGACACTGTTCCCTAAATACTGAGGAGACAGGCACGAACAAAACAGATTAACATACCTGCCATTTTGCGGTCTGAATTCTTGTAAGGCCACTCTGAGTTCGGTGGGAAAAGTAATTCACATAAGAGAGCAGTGGTAAAAAGAGGGAGAAGGGGGTGCTGGGGGGGTATGTGACAGGACGGCACCCCTGGTCTGAGCTTTAGATGGGGTTTCTCTGAGGAGAGGATATTTGAGCTGAGATTGGGAGAGTGGATGGAAGCTATCCAAATGAAGAGAGGGTGTTCCAGGCAGGGGAACCAGCAGAGGTAATAACCAAGGGGAGAGTGGCCTAAGATAAGGTTGAAGAGAAAAGTGGGAGCAAATTGCTGGCCCTCTGTAAGCCATGGTAAGACTCGCAATTTGTGCTAAGCGCAATTTAAAGTCTTTGAATGGTTTAAAGCAGGAGAGAGACTTCATCTGATTTGTGTTCTTATTTTTTATCTTTATTTTTATTCCTTAAATTGTTTATGATTTTATTTTTTTTAATTTTTTAAAAATATGGAATGCTTCACGAATTTACATATCATCCTTTTGCAGGGCTCATGCTAATTTTCTCTGTATCATTCCAATTTTAGTATATGTGCTGCAGAAACGTGCACTCATTTGTGTTTTTAAAAGCTTGTTGTGGCTCACTCTGGCTTGTGTGGCTGAGTTGGTTGGAGCATCATCTGGTAACTGAAAGGTTGCTGGTTCAGTTTCCAGTTGTGGCACATAACTAGGTTGTGGTGTTTGGTCCCCAGTCCAGGTGCGTTCAGGTAGTGGCCAATCAATGCTTCTCTCTTACTTTGATGTTTCTCTCTCTCTCCCTTCCTCTCTCTAAAAACAATGAAAAAAAATCCTCAGTGGGGATAAAAAAATAAATAAAAGCCTTGTTGTGGCTGCTGTGTAGAAGGTGGGTTCCAGGGGATAAGACTAGATAGAATATATCATTTAGGGATGATTGCAGTATTCCAGGTAAGAGGTAACTGTGGTTTAGACTAGAAAGTAGGAGACAATGAAAAGAAGTGAATAAATTTAGGGATATATAGGAAGTAATCTCAACAGGACTTTGTAAATAGATTAATGGGAGAGGGGAAAGATAGTCCACATAACCAAAAGGTTTTCAAAAGCATCATATTTTTTAGGCTTTTCTCATTGAAACTCATGTACCTTCAATGTGCTAATGAACCATTTCAGACCACTCAAGTCAATATGTTAAAATAAAATGGAGAACTACATAGGTGTGTAATACAGAAAGTATGGTTACGAGGAAAAGACTGGTCCAAAGCTTATGTTGCCAAGTTCTGGCTCATTTCCTGAACATATGCCTGAACCTTTCCTAGATGCCAGATTCTGTGCCTTCTCCCAGCCTTGGTGGAGGTCAGAAGCAGTAGGGGAGATAGAAAAGTCAATAATGCATGAGAAAACACTGAACAGTTTCAAAATAAGCCAAAGTGAACAGAGGAGGGAGAACTCCTTTGTCAAACGGGAATCAGGGAGGGTTTACAGAGGAACTGTTCAAGCTCATTCTTGAAGAATGAGTAAAAGCATCCTCAGCACTGATGCAATAGACACACTTTTTGAGTTCCTTCTATGTTCCAGTCACATTGAAGGCACCGAGGATACAGCAGAGAATAAAATAGATAAAAATCCCTTCTCTCATAGAGCTTACACTGTAATAGGGGAGATAGAAAATAAGCATAACAAAGCAAATGACATGGTATGTTGAAAGGTGCTTAGAGTATTTTGGCCTGGCATTCCAGTGCCTATGTTAGAAAGAGGATGCAACTTCAAATCACACAGATGGTCAGGAGAGGGCTCAGTGAGAAGGTAATCCTTGAGCAAAGACTTGAATGTGAGCTATTGAGCCTTGCACATGGCTGGAGAAGACGAGAGGAGAGCATCTGGGGAAGAGGAAAAGCCTGTGTGGAGTCCTGAAGACAGGGACATGCCTTGTGTGTTCAAAGAACAACAAAGAGGCCAGTGTGGTGGCAGGAGGGGAGTCATCTGGGTTGTAAGTGGGAGGGAAGATCAGAGAGGTAACAAGGCCAAGGGCACATTGTGTAAGGCCTTGTAAATGGTCATGTTAAATTAACAGTGAAAGAAAACTCTGTAAATGCCCAAATGTATAAACAGACTCAATATTGCATTGAGCATCATGGGTTTTTCCAAGATTAGGCCAGAGCAGGCAGAAATTATTTCTTTTATTAGAAACCATGTGGCCAACTGAATGTGATATAGTTGACTCTAGTAAAACAGAGGCTTATCAGTCTGGCTCTGGGACAAGCCAATATTGCTGATTTAATTTGACTCACATGTGTTGGGCACCTGCTGTATTTACATGGCCCAGAGCGTGGCTTCTGCAGGCACGTTCCTGGCTATTTCCTCCTTCTAGGAAGAGGTTCCCAACTGCAAAATAGTCACTGGGGAAGTTTTTCACAAACAAAACTCATTGATCCTCCTGAGACCAATTAAAACAGACTCTTTGAGGATAGCAATAGGCATCAGTACTTTTTAAAATTGATTCTGAGAGCTCAAGTGGACTTTAAAAATCCCTACTACCCATGTAGAGGCTGATATGGGAAAATGTATGTTTTATCACTTAGAGTATTTTAGCCTGGCATTCAAGGCTTGTTGCTATTCAGGCCTAGCAGGTACATCCATCCTTCCATCTTATTCCAGTTTAAATAATCTCTCCATTCCTGTCGAGCTTTTCACTAGTAATTGCCAGGTCTTGAGCCATCCTTGCCTGGAATACCCTCTCCCATGCCATCCTCTCTAGACAGACCCTGGAAGTCTTTGAGACATAATTTAAGCCCTTATACGAAGCCTTCTTGCAGTGTTCCAGCCTGGAGTGATCTCTCCCTGCTGCCCCCCCCACCTCCCACCCCCACCCCAAGGCACCTGCTCTAGATCAGGATTGGGCACACTTTCTAAAAGTCCAGGTAGGAAATGCTTTAAGTGCTGAGGGCCCAAAGTTCTCTGTTGCAACTGCTCCACTCCGCAGTTGTAAAGCAGCCATAGACAATAAGTAAATGGGTGTGGCTGTGGTTCAAGAAAACTTTATTTATAGAAACAGGGTCAGATTTGGTGTGCAGGCCATAATCTGACAACCCCTGCTCTATACCTCTAATGTGACACTTAACCTACCACACCTTGCAATATTAGAGATATTCCCCATCCCTGTCATGTTTCCCACCTAGATTCTAGGTCCTGGGAGGAACAGAGGCTGCATAAATCTTCTCAGGTGGTTTGAAACAGGAGTAGGTAGTCAGCCCTTGGCTTGGGAATCCTCTTGAGTCATTTCCATCTTTTATGTCTAGTATAATTGTATAATCATCTTTCACACATACTTCCACCGTCACCCCACCCTGTACACTTCCTTATTCTTCTGATACAGACTGGATCAGACACTTCCTGAACCCAGTTATGAGGAAATTCACTCAGCATAGTCAGTGAGTACCCTAGGCCACATCTGCTGGGAAGTCACTTTTCATATGATCATTTGGAAGACTACCATCATCAGTACTTCCTTTCTAAAGATAGCTGTGGGAACAACAAGTTCTGATGGTCAAAGGTTAGGTAAAAATTAGTCCACAATGGTAGCCCTTCTCATCAGAAATTGCAGGTGTGGCAAGGAAAGTGATGCACAGGAAAGGAAAAAAAGTGTAGGAGAGGGACAGCATGTTTGATAAGGAGGGAAAAGAAGACAAATTTATCCTGACCCTTTTCAAAGAGACATCAGCTGGCATCTGTTTACTCATTTATGTTGGGCACCTGAAGTTTTATGTCACAAGGAAAATGCTTTTGATTTCCTATAGTTTTGCCCACAAAGAGAATACGCTTTGCTATTAAGAAGAAATGTCAATATTATGTGGTTCTTTAAGGCACATGTTTATGCACTTTTGCCTTTTTTTAAACAAAATCCAAAGTAAAGAAGAGAGACCCCATAGGGACTTCAGGAAGCTCTACAGTACATGTAGTGTAAAACTAAGTCAGTATTTCAGAGGGCATTTATGAGAAAGCCACAGAAAGGAGTACAGAGGTTCTTTGAACTGGAGTGAACATCCATAAATTTAAAAAGACACCAGAGCATGTGACACTTAAAATAGTTGGATACAGAAAGCAAAGCTGTAAATCCCCACTTAGCCACTGTTCCAAGCCACAACAAGCATCCAGGCACGGGCTCATTTCAAGCCTTCAAATAGTCAGGAAGGGGGACCTCAAGAAACTCACACTTGCCCCTGCACTTTGCTGGCACCGAGACACAATTCCCAGACCATGTCCTCCCCACCATGCCCAAGAGGAATGATATGCATGAGTCGGGTGCCACTGAAATAGACAGGCATTGAAAGTCCATCAGTGGGAAAGTGAGGAACTCTACACTTTCCCTAATAAATCCTTCCTCAAACCTGCATTAGCTCTTGAAACTACTTAGTCTGGTTCTGTGCCTCCTTGTGTCTGGGTGGCATCAAAAGCAGTGTGACAGAGTCCCAGGGTCCAGAGTCAGATGGTAGAAGGAAAGACAGGATTGTGTCCATTTTATAGAGTAGAGAGGAGCAGGGTACCTCAGAAGACCCATTTCTAAATCCTCAGCACCTGTTTCCTCATTTGTAAATAATTGTTTTAGTCTGTTCAGGCTGATATAACAAATGCCACAGAGTGAGTAGCTTATAAACAACAGAAATGTATTTCTCACAGTTCTGGAGGCACCAGCATGGTTGCATTTTGGTGAGGGCCCTCTTCTTCACTCTAGCCAGCCCCTTCTCGCTGTGTCCTCACAAGGTGGGTAGGGTTTTTGAGGGAATCTCTTTCATAAAAATGTTAACCTATTTATGAGGGCTCTGCCCTTATGACCTAAGCACCTCCCAAGGCCACGTGTCCTAATATCATCACATTTGACATTAGAATTTCAACGTATGGATTTGGTAGGTGGGTGGGGGGAGACACTAACATTCAGACCACAGTAATAATGCTGCTCTCACCAAATTATTATACTAAGGGTTAAATATATCACATGTGGATTTCCAGTCAAGATGGCTATATAGGTAAACACAGCTCACCACCTCTCACAACCACATCAAAATTACAACTAAATTATATTACAACCATCACTCAGAATTGTCAGAAATAGAGTTTAATGGAAGTCTGACAACAGCAGAATTAAAGAAACCACATTCATCCAGACTGGTAGGAGTGGAGGAGACACAAAAGAGTCTGGTCCCACATCCACATGTGGTGGATAAAAATTCAGGAGGAATATCTCAGGAGTGAAATGTTCAGTCCTAACACCAGGTCCCTCCAGTGCTAGAAATACAAGCCATAACATCTGGCTGCAAAAACCAGTGGGGACTGAGTAGGTAGAAGAAGCTTCAGGAGTCCCTAGCAGTTCCTCTTGAGGAACCCACACATGAACTTATTCAGACTCAATTCCTCTGAGTTCAAGCACCGGGGTAGCAGCTTGAAAGGCACCAGTGGCATATAGGGAGGAACTGAAGTGTCTGGCATCAAGGTGAGAGCTGGAGGACAGCTTTCTCTCAGGGAGAAAGGAAAGCAGAGGTTATCATCCCTTCCCTGAACTCTTCCCCCAATAGAGCCATAGAGCAGGCAGGCAGGTGCT